ACTGCACTCCCTGGCCACAGCAAAGAGCTTGCCTGGAAGAGGGGCAACCGGGACAGAATCCGGCGCCCCGACCGGGACTAAAACCCGGTGTGCCGGCGCCGCAAGGCGGAGGATTAGCCTAGTGAGCCGCGGCGCCGGCCTCATGTTCTCTTTAATCACTATTAGCCGCCGACTGTCACAGGTGCACTTCCAGCCCTAGACCTGGGCAGCCAGCGGTCTACTGAACACTGCCCACAGACACCCCAAACTCAGCACGCCCTGACCTGGGGTCACCATTGTCTTCCTGGCGCTGCCCAGTCTGCTCCTCCTCCCAGACGCCCAGTGTGGGATGCAGTCTCACCTCTCCCCGAGCTGCCCGGTGAGAGCCTGGGGCAGCGCCTTCTCCGCTCAGCCATCAGGCTATACTGAGTCTGCTCCAAAACCCGACTCCAGTCTGTCCCTTTCAGTCCATTCTCAATGACTCTGCCCGACACCACCGTTCTCTCCGTAGACCACAGTTTTGCTCCTTCTAATGCATTCTCCAGGTTGTAGTCACTTATTTTAATGAATTGTAAATCCTGCCTTGTCCTTGTCCACTCAAACCCCGCGCTTGTCCTCCATGGCTCTGAGGAGGATGAGGAACAGCACGGCAGCTCTGTCAGACCTCCTGTGGCCCGGCCTCGGTTCACCGCGCGGGGCTCGCCTCGTGTGCTAGCCATCAGGCACTCAATTCAGCTTCGCTGTTAGTTCCCTAAATGCACCGCAATCTCTTCACCCGGGGCTTCTGAAGAGCCACTGCCTACGCCTGGGATATTCTCCCGTTTCTTCCTTGGAACCCTTCTTTCTCCTTTTTTTTTTTTTTTAATTTTAGGAAAGGAGGGAGGGGGAGAGAAAAAGACTGAATATGCAACTGTTGGTTCACTCTTCAAACACCCACAATGGCCCCAGGCCAGGCTCAGGGTCAAAACCAGGAGCCAGGGACTCAATCCAGGTCTCCCACAGGGGTGGCAGGAACCCAGTTACCTGAGTAGTCACAGCCGCCTCCCACGGTCTAAATTAGGTATCAAACCCAGGTACCCCGATCTGGGACATGGGCAGCCTAATCCCTAGGCCAAACACCCAGGCCACTTCCTGTTCCTAAAGCAACAGGCTGGTCATCACTGGCCCACTCTCTCCAGACTAGAAGAAAGCTAAGTGAATGAGAGACGGTTTAGCCTAGAGGTTGAGACAAAGGGCTTTGGAAGTGGACGGTCCAGTTTTGAACCGTGTGCTACTCGTGACACCAGGTGTATCCCTTCTCTGTGCCCATTTCCTCATGCATAAAACAGGGACAGCAGGAGTCCCTGTTACCTAAGGCTGAGGTGAGGGCTGGGAGCGCTTGGGGCAGCACCTGGCACACTCCAGGCGCAGTCAGCGTTCGCTGTTCATCTGATGGGGCTCACAGCGCACTGCAATCAACCCTGTCAGCGGGCCCCCGCAGAACTGTAATTTGGAACTCACTGACTTGACTTACTTTTTGCACCGCAAGGTCCTTGGAGCTGGGACAACTTTCCAGGGCTCCCATTCCTGGCACACGGTAAACATCTGTTCAACATTAGTTACATGACTAAAGGCATACATGAACCCACTGCAGCCTGAATTCCAGGACAGGACTTTGGTTTATCTGTAGCTCAGCTGTTAGTTATATATATATATATACACACACACACACACACACACACGCACACGAAGGCTTTGAGGATGAGGACATTCAAGTTAAAGATGGGAGTTACATTTAGACGGGAAGTCCTGTAATTTCTGAAAGAACAGTGAGCCCGGAGGTTTTGTTCTCCCTCATCTTGTATTTTTTATTTTTTATTTTATTTTATTTTTTTTTTATTTTTTTTGACAGGCAGAGTGGACAGTGAGAGAGAGAGACAGAGAGAAAGGTCTTCCTTTGCCGTTGGTTCACCCTCCAATGGCCGCCGCGGCCGGCGCGCTGCGGCCGGCGCACCGCGCTGATCCGATGGCAGGAGCCAGGAGTCAGGTGCTTTTCCTGGTCTCCCATGGGGTGCAGGGCCCAAGCACCTGGGCCATCCTCCACTGCACTCCCTGGCCACAGCAGAGGGCTGGCCTGGAAGAGGGGCAACCGGGACAGAATCCGGCGCCCCGACCGGGACTAGAACCCGGTGTGCCGGCGCCGCTAGGCGGAGGATTAGCCTAGTGAGCCGCGGCGCCGGCCTGTTCTCCCTCATCTTGTAAACGCAACTGAGGTACCAGTCCCTGTGCGAATGCGCCTGCACGCTGGGTGGGTAGAAGAGTGGGCTGCAGCAGGAGCAGCATTAGATAGGAAGAGCCCCGGCTTTTAGCCCAGGCTGTCAACGAGCAGATGTGACCGTGGAAGTCACAAGCTGCCTGGGCCCCTGCGGTCTCCCCGCTGAAGTGAGGGAGTGTATGAACCGTGTGAGCTCCTCACGGATTCGGACACATCATGACATCATGTATCACTGTCAGGCTCCTTTTATGGAGGCATTTTTGTGCTCTGCTCGATCTTAGAAGGAACAGGAAAAAACAAAAACTACTCCAGCCATGGCCGCGTATCCAGCGACGGCTGAAAAGCAGTCACCGGAGAGCACCTGGCTCAGCTGCTTCCCCTTCCGCACGCCCTCGGCCGGCCGCCCTCGGAGTGTCTGTGACCAATTCCCTGTATTAAATTCCTTCTGTTTGATAAACCTAAAGCGGCTTCTGCTCCCCTGACGAGGCCGACCTGCGCGTGTGGACTACAGGCAAACTCTTCATGGGACGTCCAGCACGTATCTGTGGAAACAGGAACTATGTGCCAAGAACCAGGCTTGGTGCTTTCCACACGTTACCGCATTTGATTCCAACACCGACCCTGACCTGTGTGTGAGCAGGCCCACGCCAGGGACACAGAAACCGAGCCTCCGAAGGGCTGACCAGACGCCCAAGGACCAGATGGACGCAGGCAGAGCTGGAATCCAACTCCAGGTCTGACCCCAAGGTACACCTGTGTCGGGTCTTGTGGGATGAGAAGAGCTACTTCCTGCCAACAAGGTACACTTCTGCTCAGGGGAAGCCTCACTTTACATCCTGAGACACCTATCTGAGGAGTCTCAACTTAGATAATGGTCTACCTTTCACAACAGAGAGAGGCAAAGGAAGATAAGGCTACACTTAGGGGGAGGGCACACAGACTCAAGTGTTCTGGGCTGTGAGAGCTGCAGGGCGTGTGGGAATGGAGGCCTGGGGACAAGGCCCACTTTTGTTACTCACATCTGTTATGGCCCCAGGCAGTCACTTCAGCTCTGCAGGCCTCGGTTCTGTCCAGAAACAACCTGACCTTCTGGACTCAACTAAATATCTCCTTTGGGAAAAGTTGTATCAGATACTGGGGACAGAGGTTAGAGCAGAATAAGGGAAGTAAACCCAATTCTAGAGGGCCTTGAATGATCTGTTAAGAAATTCTTATTTTACCCAATAAGCAGCAGGGAATTATTTTAGCTTCTTGAGGAAGAGAATAGTAACAAAAACAGGGACTGGTGTTATGGTGTAGTGGGTTAAGCCACTGCCTGTGACAATGGCATCACATATGGCACCAGTTTAAGTCCCGGCTGCTCCACTTCAAATCCAGCTCCCTGCTAATGCGCAGGGAAAGCAGCAGAAGATGACCCAAGTCCTTGGGCCCCTGCACCCACGTGGGAGACCTGGAAGAAGTTTCTGGCTCCTGGCTTCGGATCAGCCCAGCTCTAGCTGTTGCAGCCATTTGGGGAGTAAACCAGCCAGCAGAAGATCTCTCTCTCTCTCTCTAACTCTGTCTTTCAAATGAATAAACAAATCTTTAAAAAACAAATTAAAAACAATACGAAAGAGTGATGGTGTCACTGACTAAACGCTGGGTACCAGGCACTGCCCTACGAGATCGTGGGAACTCAAGGGGCTCTATAATGTTGCCCCCATTTCACAGGTGGCCACATTGTTCAGTGAGGCTAAATCACCTGCCTAAAGTCCACAGCTGGCCAGCCCTGGAACTGAGACAAAACCGACTTTGGTTACTTCCGAAGTCTGTGTTCTTTTCACTGTATTAAGAGGCTCCTAATTTGGGTTGGAATGAGTGGATTCCAAAGGCACAGAAAATAAGCAGGAAGATATTGTTCCAATAGACAAGGGATCTTAAGGGTTTGCATCAGAGTTCTGGGCCCATGGAGACCGTGTGAGGTGAACAGAGACAATCTGAGGCAACAGACCCTGCGGCTTGAGATAACGGAAGATGTGGGAGAGGCGCTGCGTCCGTCCCGACAGCCCCCATCCTCGATTTCCATTCGTGAATCCCCCACCCCCACCCCTGCGCTGCACCCTGGAGCTTGGGGTGGGAGGGGCAGGGCAAGTGGCTCAAACCTAAGCCAGACATCTTAGTTCTGTCTCATGGCCATGCTGTGGCCTGGGATGGGCCTGTCACCCAGTGAGTCCCCAGGAAACACAGGCTTGCTAGGAGCCTCTGCAAAGTTCTCTCGTGTTTTTAAGGGGGCTTCTGGAAAGCCTTCTCTCCATCTCTCCAAATGAGGACGGGGAAGTGCACAGCCCTGGAAACTGCTCCCGTGGTCTCAGGACTAGGAGGCGACGCCCACACTGCCAAGGGCAGGGGGCCTGGGGATGGAAGGCTAACCTGTCCTCTACTGTTCAGGGCACCCTCACTGCAAGATCTCACTGGGAAAAAAAACAAGCAGACAGGACGGAGACCAGGGGCCTAACAAGACAGGCAGGCAGCGCCACGCCCGGCCGGCCTGCAGCCCTCCTGGCGGCATGTTCACAAGGACGCACACCTGGGTCCCGGCTGCCCCCACACCACGCACGATGCAGGCCTGGGGACAGCCCACTCCACGGGCCCTCGTGGTTCTGTCCACAGAGGGGACTCTCTTCTGATGCTAATGTATTCAGGTCCCACTTGGCTAAGTGTCTGTGCTAACATTTTCACAACACCGATTATTACACAAACCAGAGTATCTTCAAATGCAAGCACCAGGTCAGAGTAACAAACGCCGCGCTTTATTCATCTGTGCGCGCCGCGGAAGCCGGCGGAGTCAGGACGCTTTCCTCAGCCATCCTTTCCACATCTTGTGCAGCTTCAGTGAACCGTAAACCAGCGACTTCTTCACGCCTAGAAGGAGAAGCGGACGTGAACACGCAGGCTTCCTGAGGGCGCTTGGCTAGAGTGGCGGTGACGTCCTGAGCACCGGCCCGTCTGCGGGGTGGCTGCGATGGGCTGACTGTCGGGCTCCAGGAGACCAGCGGGCAGGGGCTTATTAAACACGGTCATGACCACTGCTGGGCAGATTCTACCTAGGCGTTGACCGACCCAGTGATGTGGCTGCCGACAGTGCCCAGGTTCCTGGGATAAATGCATCTTTTGAGTCAGGAGCATATCGGCAGTCTTTGAATTTAGGAACTTGCTAAAAGGGTAGGATGGGGCCGGCGCTGTGGCACAGTGGGTAAAGCCACCACCTGCAGCGCTGGCATCCCATATGGGAGCCAGCTGCTCCTCTTCCAAACCAGCTCTCTGCTATGGCCTGGGAAAGCAGTGGAAGATGACCCAAGCGTTTGGGCCCCTGCATCCCCATGGGAGACCCAGAAGAAGCTCCTGGCTCTGAATGGGCCTAGCTCGGGCCGCTGTGGCCATTTAGGGAGTGAACCAGCAGATGGAAGACCTTTCTGTCTCTCCCTCTCTCTGTAATTCTACCTCTCATATAAATAAATAAAAATCTTAAAAAAAAAGAAAAAAACAGAAAAGGGAGGGACAAAGATGAGACTTGTGTGCATTGGGGCATCCTGGCCCAAAGCCTGCATCCCCAGCAGCTCCTGCCTGGAACACAGGCCGTCCCCACTCCTTCCTGCCCAGCAGACTCCTTCCTGATTGTCCTTTAAGATCCTTCTCCAGCAAGTGCCTTCCTGGACGCCGAGGCTGGGCCCACAGCAGCTGAGCCCACGGCCTCGCTGCTCTGTTCCGCCTGCCTGTGAGCTCCTGGAGGACAGGGACCGCATCCTGCTCGTCTCTGCCCCCATCGGAACCCAGCACACAGCAGGTGCTTGTGACACGTCCGAACAAAACGTGTCTCTCAGACAGCTGCCCCCCGCACACAGGATCCCCGCCAGCTTAATCACGCAGCCGAGGGGCTCTCGGGTGGGGGCCTTTGGGAAAGAGGTGGAGGGGGTGAAGGAGACGGGCTGCTCTCTGCCCGTCAGACCTCACAGCTCCTGCTCGCGCATGCTGTTACGGACTCGGCTTCCTTTGTGTGAGGGTGAGGTCATCGCATTTGTGCTGCAGGGTGTGGCCCTATGATCCCAACAGTCTTTTCCCCATGAGAAGCAAACGGCTGTGCCCCGAGCCTGCAGCGCCCTGTCCTGGCAGCGCTGTGGGCCGCACACCAACCAGAGCACAGGACTCGGTCCGCGGACCCGGCACTGGGCTTTGAGTGATTTCTGGGAAATCTGGCCATTACCCGTAAACCAGCCGGCGTGGAACCTGCAGAGATTACTGCAGGCAGTGGCAGGAGAGAGGCAGATTACCAGCAAAATCATTAACGAACACCAGATCCTCCGGCCCAGCCCGCCTACCTGCGGACTAGCTGCAAACCGACACAGCCTCGTAGAAACACCCAGGGCTCCTCCCCGGCCTCACCCCTTGTAATGCTCTCCCCGGAGCAGCCGCTCTGGTGAACCTCGCCCGCTTCAGCGCTGAGTGTGGAAACCGATTGCCTAAGAGGTGCCTTCTAAACCCAGCCAGAACCGACCCAGAGAGCAGGTAAAGCACAGGGAGCTGCACGTGACCGGGGCCAGAGGCGGATGCACACGCCGGTGACGAGGCCCAGCTCCCCTCACAATACTCAGCTAGGGTCTCCATGGTGCAGACACTGATGGTAAACACACAGGGGAGGCGAGCGACGGCACAGCCCCCGCCCGCGACGCGGTCTCCGGCCACTGCGGCAGGGAACTCCGTCAGGAAGGGCCCTGGATCAGCAGTCAGAAGACCCAGGTTCCACGCCCAGCGGCGCCTCGAACTGCGACGTGGCTCCTCTCTCTGGGTCTCAGCGTCCTGATCCGCCCACAGCCCGGGCTGTGCTCTCAGGGTCTCTCTACCCAGGACCCACAGGAGGGCCTGACGGAGCCCGAGAACGCCCTCCCTCGCGGAACAACCTGCTGTGTGCATTATTAGGCGTGCACACTCCTGGGCGCGGGTCCAGGGTGCCAGCGGACTCTCACAGAGACCCTGGTTTGTAAAAGGTTAAGAAGCAAACGTAGGGGCTGGCAGTGTGGCGTAGCAGGTAACGCTGCTGCCTGTAGCACACGGTTGGAGTCCCGGCTGCTGCCATTCTGATCCAGCTCTCTGCTGCGGTTTGGGAAAGCAGAAGATGGCCCAAGTCCTTGGGCCCCTGCACCTGTGTGGGAGACTGGGAAGCTGCTCCTGGCTTCGGATCAGCCCAGCTCTGGCCATTGCGGCCATCTGGGGAATGAACCAGCGGAAGTAAGACCCCTCTCTCTCTCTCTTTGCTTCTGCCTCTCTGTAACTCTGCCTTCCAAATAAATAAATCTTAAAAAAAAAAAAAAAAAAAAAGGAGCAAAGGTAAAGAACGAAGTGTGCTTTCTGCCTCAATATTCTGATTTCAACAAAGGGTGGAAGATGTAAGTCCTATGAAGGTGCAGTGGGCAAGAGTTTCCTAAACAGAACACGAAACCCTGCTAACCCTAAAAAACAAAATGGACAGACTGGACATGCAAAATCAAGACCTCTGTTTTGCAAAAAGTCACCATTAAGAGAGTAAGATGACCATTCCCAGAGCGGGAGACCTCTGCATTACACATGTCCCACACGGGACGCGTGTCCGGACCCGGCAGACCGCTCAGCAAGACAAAGGCAGACAATGCCATGGCAAGAGGAGCAGAAGACTGGAACAGACGCACCACAAAGAGGATCTCCAGGGACGGGCGTCCGGCCTAGCCTGGAAACACCAGTGTAGACATCTGAATGCCACGTAGTGCGCAGGTTCGAGTCTTGGCTCTGAACTGGACTCCAGTTTCCTGTTAGTGCAGACTCCAGGAGGCAGCGGTGATGGCTCCAGTAATTGGGTTCTTGTCACCCACATGGGAGACCTGGACTGAGTGCCTGGCTCCTGGCTTTGACCCTGCCCGGCCTGGGCTGGCTGTTGGCATTTGAGGAGCGAATCAGCGGATGGGAGATTTCTGTCTCCGTTCATCTGCTTCTCAACATAGAAATACAAAATTTAAAAAGTGGATATCCAAATAAACCTCCCAAATGTTCAACTTCCTTAGACGCTGGGAACACGCGAATCGCAATGCTGGTGTAACACCGCGGCCCCTGTCAAAGTGCCTAGGAGGCAAGACAGAGAATCAGGCGCTGGCTGAGCAGCCGCTGCCACAGGAGCTGTGCCACGCAGGCGCAGATGGGCCGAGTGTTAGCATTTCCTAAAGCTGAACGCCCCACCTGCCGATCCGGGCCTGTCACCCCAGGTCTACACCTGACAGGCGCAGACTGCTGGTGACACCCCCAAGCTGGAAAACAACCCGCACCAGCCGGTAACGGAACGGGCCAAGAGTGGTCGATTCCTACAACCGAACGAGAAGGAAGCGGTGTTACTCCCGGCCATGTGAGCGGCCTCGCGCCAAGTGCTGAGGATGCTCTGAGGCCGGCAGACACGGAAGACAGGTGAATCCCCCAGCTCAAAACCAGGCCGAGAGAACGAGGGTGGCACCGCAAGTCGGCTAGCGCTTCCCGCTGGAGGGCAGCGGGGGCCTGGGCCTGCTCTCCTTCCCCAGGGACTCCAGGCCCAGCAGGCATTGGCGTTGTGGAGAGCAGTGGAGGATGGCCCAAGTTCTTGGGCCCTGCACCCGCATGGGAGACCAGGAGAAGCATCTGGCTCCTGCCATCGGATCAGCCAGATTTACGACCCCGGTTCCTCTCTGCATAGTGGAGCCACTTCCTTCCACCACATTCAGGACCTTTCATTTACTCAGTCACAACTGAACACGTATTTGCTCTTTGAAGATCTGCTTTTGTTTTTACCTGAAAAGGAAGAGAGAGAGAGGGAAGGAAGAAAAGGAGAGAGAGGGAGAGAGGGGGAGAGAGGGAGAGAGGGAGAGAACAAGAAGGGGCTTGCACTGTGGTGTAGTGGGTAAAGCCACCATCTGTCCATACGGGTGGCAGTTCGAGTCTCGGCTGCTGCACTTCTGATCCAGCTCTCTACTATGGTCTGGAAAAGCAGCAGAGGATGGCCCAAGCATTTGGGCCCCTGCGTACCCGCGAGCAGAAGCTCCTGGCTCCTGGCTTTGGAACGGCTCAGCTCTGGCCATCACAGCCGGACCTGAGGCTGTGAGAGAGACCTGAGAGAGAAGGACATCTCTTTCTCTCTTTTTTTTTTCTGTCTCTCTCCCTACCTCTGCCTCTGTCTCTCTGTAACACTGCCTTTTAAATACATAAATAAATATTTAAAATTAAAAAAGAAGAGACAGAGAGAGCGATCTTTCCATCTGCTGGTTCCCTCCCCAAATGCCCACAGCAGCTAAGGCCAGGCCAGGCCAAAGGCAGGAGCCAGGACCTCCATCTGGGTCTCCCACTGGGGTGGCAGGGGCCCAAGGACGTCAGCCATCGTCTGCTGCTCCCCAGTGTGCTGGATCAGAAGCAGAGCTGGGACTTGAACCGGGCGCTCTGATGTGGGATGTGCACGTGCCAGGGGTGGTCTTAACCTCCGTGTTAAACGCCTGCCCTGAACAAGTGTGTGCGGAGCACTGACCCACGCGAGACACTGGCTAGCTGCTGGGAATCCACGGAGAACAGCATCAGTTTGCAATGCATGCGGTCCTACAGGAAGCCTACTCTCGGTGCCTGCTTCCTTTCTGGAGAAAAGGGTGGGGGGTTAGAAAGTCTGCACATTCCAGAACCGCCCAGACTGTGTCTTTGAGGGAAGACTGCTGCTCAGAGAGAGGCCTCACTCCCTGAGTCTCACTATCAGCCGCATCGCCGCTCCCTCCCCAGGGGACGGAGATGCAACAGCTCTTCAGAGACTGCTATTACCCAGGCAAGCTGTTACGAGTGCCGTGTCTGAAGCCAGGCTTTTGTTTCGGAAGCTTCGACAGACAGCTCTTGCT